CACATCCAGCAAGCGGAGATAAATACTACCTAAGGATGCTACTGAACACAGTGAAAGGACCCAGAACATTCGAAGAAATCAGAACTGTAGATGGAGTTGTACACCCATCATTCAAATCAGCTTGCGAAGCATTAGGATTTCTTGACGATGACAGGGAGTGGGTTGAATGCATCCGAGAGGCATCCAACTACGCATCAGGGAACCAACTACGACATCTTTTCACAACAATTTTATGTCACTGTGAGGTAACTGATCCGAAGAGAATATGGGAAAGCTGTTGGGAGGATCTAGGTGAAGACATAGAATACAAACAGAGAAAAAATCTCAACTATCCTACGCTTCGCCTAACAGAGCAACAAAAAAAGGGACATGCTCTGATAGAAATAGAAAAGCTGATGAGACAAGCTGGAAAAACACTTGAGGAATACCCTGATATAGAGCTACCAAAATGTGCTGAACTACGGGAACTTGGAAACAGACTTCTGAATGAAGAAATGAGCTATGACAAAGACAAGCAGAAAGAGGAACATGATAGCATATTTGGTAAACTTAATGCAGAACAAAAGGTAGCATTTGATTCAATAATAGAGTCAACCAACAAGGGGTTGGGAAAACTAATGTTTGTCGATGGCTACGGTGGAACAGGAAAGACTTACCTGTGGAGAGCTATCACAACCAAACTACGTTCAGAAGGAAAGATAGTACTCACGGTTGCATCATGTGGTATAGCAGCCTTACTTCTTCATGGGGGGAGAACAGCTCACTCAAGATTCCACATCCCACTAATTGTTACAGAAGAGTCAACATGTGACATCAAACAAGGATCGCACCTGGCGGAACTACTTAAAAAAACATCACTCATACTGTGGGACGAGGCTCCAATGGCAAACAGAATTTGCTTCGAGGCGCTAGACAGAAGTCTAAGGGACATACTAAGGTCCAAGGGTGAAGATAACAGCACAAAGCCATTCGGCGGTATGACTGTGGTTCTAGGAGGAGACTTTCGCCAGATTCTTCCTGTTGTGCGAAAGGGAAGACGCACGCAAATAGTAAATGCATCAATAAAACGGTCCTACCTATGGCAGCACTTCCACATCTTCAAACTTACAAGGAACATGCGCCTGAGCTGCATCTCAAGAGATGAAGACGAGCAAAAAAGGACTGCAGATTTCGCACAATGGATTTTGAACATTGGTGATGGCAAAACAACATCAGCGGATGGAGAGGAATGGATAGAAATACCTGATGACCTGATACTGAAGAAAGGAGGTGATCCAAAGGAAGAAATTGTGAAGAGCATATATCCAAACTTGGTACAGAATTATAAGAAACGAGATTTCTTAGAACAGCGAGCAATTCTATGCCCAAGAAATGAGACAGCGAGGAAAATTAATGAATTTATAATGAACATGATAGAAGGAGAGGAGATAACATATCTGAGCTGCGACACTGTATGCAAAGCAACAACTAATGACAGTGAAACCGATGTCCTATATCCAACAGAATTTCTAAATAGTCTAAACTTCCCTGGAATGCCAAACCATGTGCTGAAACTGAAACTAGGCCTTCCAGTGATGCTACTGCGAAACATTAACCAAAGTTCAGGGTTATGTAATGGTACACGAATGACCATTACTCAGCTCGGGAAAAGATTCATTGAAGCACAAATCATAACAGGAACACATGTAGGAGAAAAGGTATATATCCCTAGAATAATAATGACGCCAACAGAGTCAGGATGGCCCTTCTTGCTAAAAAGAAGACAATATCCACTCAGTGTGTGCTTCGCTATGACCATCAATAAAAGCCAAGGACAGTCTCTAAACATGGTAGGACTATATCTGCCTAAGCAAGTATTCACGCATGGGCAGCTCTACGTAGCGTTCTCCAGAGTTACAAGACGAGATGGGCTACGGATAATGCTAGATGACAATGAAAGCCCAGGTGAACATATGGTCAGGAACATAGTGTACAAAGAGATTTTCTAGAAGGTATTATATCATTCTCATTCATCTATATTGATCATACAAACTATGTTGCAAACTACTCATGGGTACCTTATCATTGTAAATATTCATTGCAGCTGCTCTATTCCTGCTTCTCTCCAGTACAACATTGATTGTGCTACAACATACTCTAGCGAAAGGCTGCAATTCAAAATTACCATTTACAGTGAGTATTTTTACCAGCTGAAATAGGATGATATTTCAAACATTATATCTTCCTTTCACAAACAATATATTTCATCTTTGTACTATATTCAATAATTACTACCTCTGTTTTCAAATGAATGACGTTGATTAGTGCAATTTTGAACTAACCGGCGTCAAACAAAAAGAAATGGAGAGATATAAAGTTATAGGATAATTACATTTTCCTTCTATTATAACATTTTTCCCCAGAAAGTAAACATCCATGAACCATTTATTTTTTTAGACAATGGATTAAACAGGCTTAAACATCCAAAATACATGTACACAGCCAATGAGCCATTTAATCACATCATAATTCCGCAATCTTTCGTATTATGCACATACCGTCTTTCCATAGAGCTGTGAACAACAACTCCATCGCTGCCAATTGTCCCCTGGCGAACACCCCAGCAGCTGATGCCAAATCCACTAATCAAGGAAAATAGAGAGGACATAACCAATACAGACGAAGGAAGATAGAGAGGTCGACACACCGCAGCCGCCAACCCACCCACTGAGCTAGGAGATAATTCAAGGAGGATGTTGAGGTGAGGACGGAACATGGGAGGTGGATATGGACATGGCGCTGCAAGCCTGCAACAGCCACTGGAGGGAGGGAGACGGGAAACTACAGGAGACCCACGCCGTCCCCGCCACCCGCTGCTCTCCGCCCGCGGACCACGCCATCCCCGCCTCCTACCATATGAAGTTTTGTGAAGGTCTGGTATGGTAATTATATATAAAATTATCAAATTGAAAGCATTTTTTACTTTGAAGTTACAAGCTTTTTTTACTACAATTAGTTAACTACGAAAGCTCAATTATACAGAGCCATACAGACACCCTTTATGATGGGCCAAAAAATCTCAAATATGCAGTACAAGAGGGATAACTTGAACGTAAAGCAGAGACAAATCGATACAGAGCAAAGACATGGGAACAGAGCAACAGGACATTAGTGCAGTACACATTGACGATGCAGGGATGCACGATGCAATACCTGAGGACAGCGCCTGTTGTACAGCCCAATCGCGAGTGAAGCGGTTGGCGATGCAGTAGCTCGGCGGCGCAACCAGCTCGGCCTCGCACTCCACAACCTTGCGGGAGCGCACGTCAGATCGAGACCTCCGTCCCCGCCACCCGCGTCGCCGTCCCCCCGTCCACAGCGCCTGCAGCTCTCCGCTACCGCTCTCTGCCCGCAACCCACGCCATCCCCGCCACCCGCCGCCGTCCCCGCCATCTACGCCAGCAACCCACGCCATCCCCGCCGTCTGACGCCGTCCCCGCCGCCTACGCCGCCAACCCACGCCATCCCTGCCGCCTGCGCCGCCGTCCCCCCTGCCCAAAGCTCTCCGCTCGCACCTCCGGCCCGCGCCATCCGCCATCCGCCATCCGCCCTCCTCGTCCGCCCTTCCCCTCAGACCTCATCCTTTCCATTTTCCCCTCTTCTGTCACTCTCTCCTTGCTATCCATACGTATACTCGTATAGCGGAATAGAAAAGAAGAGCAAAAAAAAATAGCTTAGACAGAGTTACAGAGTATTAGTTGCCTACTACTAATTAGTATTTTAGTCAAAGCAAAGTGATGCAAAATTTGTTTGGTTAAGTGCAGTTTTTTTTTCACAAATGCATAATTATTTCATCTACATAGATTAACAAAATTTAACAATCATCTGTTTTTCCTGTACTTGCGAGACGAAACTTTTAAAACTAATTGCGCCATGATCTGACAATGCCGTGCTACAGTAAACATTTGCTAATGACCGATTATTTACGCTTAATAAATTTGTCTCACAGTTTATATGCGGATTATGTAATTTGTTTTGTTAATAATCTATGTGTTAATAATTCAGATAACCACTTTTCTCTATCCTCTATTTTACACATGCTTCTAAAAAATCCTACGCTATCACATGATTTAAAATCTTAGACATATTATTTTGGACCATTACATTATATCTTTTCAAAATAAAAAACATATATAAAATATAAGAAAAAAAATATGACCATTGTAACTTTAATCGGTAAAACAATTATTTACATCCGATAGACCAATCCTTAAAAATACAAATCCATTCCACCTCTCTCCCATACATAATCACTCGTCTCTCCACGATATCTGTACGTACATGCAAGATATATATCTTGCATATAACAGAATTTTAAAAAATTACCATCGAGACAATCGTCAAGCTACTAATGCAAAGGTTGTTTGATTATTATTTGTCCAGATGATAATTTGATCTAACTGGGTTAATACATTTTAAATTTTTTACACTCTATCCAAACATCCATTCTATTCCATACTATATTTTAAACATTCATTTCTATCATATTTATATACCATTTTCTTTTCTTTTCTCAAAATCATTTATATACCATTTTCTATTATTTTCTAAAAATCCTGTGTTACAAAGGAAACCCTAAATTCTTTCTAATAACAACAAAAATTATGATAGTTTAAATAATATGCCCGCGCAACTGCGCGGGCTACCTTCCTAGTTATTAACTAAATAGTAAATTAAATACACCACCAACAAATTAAACCAGAACAATTAAGTGCTGCTTGTATTGCTCGTCAGATGGTGGGTCACGAAACTCAATTGAAAAGAAGGGTACAGTAGTGTTCCGCTCTACTCTCAGTAAGAAGATGGTAATTAAGTGTGATGGATTTGATCAAGTGAGATTGTGCTTGAAACTTACTGACAACAGGCGATGGCGATCGAGTTTGACCTGAACACAGTTGATGATACAAATTTGGCATTTCACATGTGAGACTTAATATAACAATCGATATATTAATTTCACTTCATCACTAGCTACAGGGCGTCACGACACGTCGTAATTAAAATTAATTAGACCAGCTCGCTAATTAACTATACTCTTCGATACAAAGTCAACTCCATGCGCACAAGCTAGAGACGAATGCGAAGAAGAAGAAGAAAACTTAGAAGATGCAACTATATATCAAACATATATATAACGAGATATATATAGTATTAGCAAAGAAAGAGAGATAAATTAAGGGATATATAGATATATTGGTAGATCCTTTTGCAAGGTCAACTCCATAAACAAAGCATTGATGCAATGGCAATGTCAACGCCCCTCCCTCGCCGCCCATTTTTGCCTTCTCCCGCCGCGCCGCCGCCACTTCGATCCCCCCTCCGATCGATGCGCGCATCGGATCGCCGCCGCCGCCGCCGTCTCGTCTGAGTCGTCCTCATCACCACCATGGGCAACAGCTTGGCGAGCCTGGCGACGCCGTGCTTCGCGGACGCCGCCGCCGGTGGTGGGCGCGGGCGCGGTCACCACGCCGCCGGCGACGACGCCGTTGCGTTCGACGACGACGACGCCGCGGGGGGCTGCAACAGCATCGGTCACATTCTGAGCTTCGATGGACGCGATGCGCCGGCGTTCGCCATCCATGGCGTGTTGCTGCCGTCGAACCCGTCGACGATGGCCTCCACCGGCGGCGGCGGCGGCGGCGGCGCCTCCGTCCTCAACGACGGCGCGCTGTCCATCGGGTCGTCGTCGTTCGACAGCTCCAACTCCTTCTCGTTCCGGACGCTCCAGCCGCGGCAGTACTCCGGGCCACTGGAGTACTGCACCACGTCGCCGTCGACGTCGGGCGCGTCGTCGTCGCGGCAGCTCGGCCCGCGCACCGACAAGCAGATCCTCAACGACATCTACGCCAACCGGCAACGCCGCCGGTGTCAGGGGTCCAAGGGGCCGCCGCTCCTCGGCCGCCTCCGCAAGGCGGTGGCGTCGCTGCTGCGCGCCGGGCCGTGCGGCTTCCCCGAGCAGGAGGAGCCCGCCGCCATGATCAACGGCGTCGGCGTGGTGAGGAACGGCGAGGAGAGCATCAGCCGGAACGTCGACGCGGCGGCGGCGGACGACGGTGCGGAGAGGGTGCAGTGGGCGCGCGGCAAGGCCGGGGAGGACAGGGTGCACGTGGTGGTGTCGGAGGAGCACGGGTGGATGTTCGTCGGCATCTACGACGGCTTCAATGGCCCCGACGCCACCGACTACCTCGCCGACAACCTGTACGCGGCCGTGTGCCGCGAGCTCAACGGCGTGCTCTCGGAGGACGAGCCGGATCCACCGGAGGCGGCGGCGGCGGCGGGGCGGTGCAACGGGTGCGGCGGAGCGGCGCGGCACCGCGAGGTGCTCGACGCGATGGCGCGGGCGCTGCGGCGGACGGAGGAGGGGTACTTCGCGGAGGCGGAGGCGCGCGCGGCGGAGTGCCCGGAGCTGGCGATGATGGGGTCGTGCGTCCTCGTCGTGCTGATGAAGGGCGCCGACGTGTACGCCATGAACGTCGGCGACAGCCGCGCCGTGCTGGCGCACCAGGCCGAGCCGGACCTGTCCCACGTCGTGCTGCCGCGGGGCAGCCACCACGATGGCGACGGCGACCTCGCCGGCGTGAAGGAGGCGATCAAGCGGCAGTTCGACGAGTGCGAGATGGGGGAGCTGGCGGCGCTGCAGCTCACCATGGATCACAGCACCAATGTGTACAAGGTTATTATACTCCCTAGTATTCACCATTGCATTCAGGGTTTAATCTTTCGGTTTGGACGTTTCTATTGAAGGGTGCTGAGATACCAACATTTTGAAAAAAAATTACACAAATTTAAACAAAATATTGCCAAATTCACAAGAAAAAAAATAAAAAATTTGGCTGAAACTATATCATATTGTGGGGAGGGGTCTGAAATGACCGAAATTTTGAAACTCTGATTGCATTGACATTGTATTGGTTGGTTCTGATGGAACTAATTGATTGGATCGCCATTGAAATGTGTAGGAGGTGAGAAGGATCAGGAGTGAGCACTTGGATGATCCTGGCTGCATCACCAATGGCAGGGTGAAGGGTTGTTTGAAGGTGACAAGAGCGTTTGGAGCTGGCTACCTAAAAGAGGTGTGCATATTTGTATCTAACTAAATTTTATTCTTAAACCACATATTAATCCTTTAGTGACTAACTATATCAAGCCTAACTATAGAAGAAACTAACTGTAATGACTAGCTTGCGTACATTTCAAGTTAACTTTGATCAAAGTCAAAACAACTTATAATCTGAAACGGAGGGAGTATTTGGTGTTGCAGCCCCGTTGGAACAAGGCTCTACTAGAGGTGTTCCAGGTGGATTATGTGGGTAGCTCGCCGTACATCAGCTGCCGTCCGTACATCCGACACCACCGGTTAGGGGCGCAGGACAAGTTCTTGATCCTCTCGTCGGATGGTCTGTATGACTACTTCACAAAAGAGGAGGTGGTGGCACAAGTGGAGGCCTTCACCGCCGGCTACCCCGACGAGGACCCTGCCAAGTACCTCAGCCACCAGATTCTCCTCCGGGCCGCCAATCAAGCTGGTTAGTTTTACTCTCTATATATAAACTCCCTCAATCTTAAAATATATAACACCGTTGACTTTTCGTATAACGTTGGACCATTCGCGTTATTCAAATTTAGTAATTCTCTCAGTATCTCCATTACAAGAAAACCGACAATAGAAAAATGTGATACTTCCTTAATAACCGTAAAATCACTCCTTCTATATATGTTGCTATTTAGTTGGCAATGCTGTTTGTTGTTGTTTTAACTTTGACCAATAATAATCGTAATAGTGCTTGTAAATTTACTAAAATGAATGGTCAAAGTTTGAATGTAAATGATGCTTGATGACAAATTTTTAGGAACTGAAGAAGTAATAGAACCTTTCTTTCTCATAGTTATTGTAGAAGAAAACATACCTGAAATAGCTTGTTAATTTTCTGGTTACCTCTATCTTGTTAGTTGCACTCTAATCAAGTCTTCATTTTTTTTTCTTTCAGAGTCAAGAACATGTAATTGTTTACTTATTATTACTTAGGGTTAATATTGATTTTAATTTTTTTGATGCATTATTTGTGTAGGGATGGGGTTCCATGAGTTGCTAGAGATTCAGCAAGGAGATCGACGACAGTACCATGACGATGTCTCCATCATTATCATCTCCTTGGAGGGAAAAATTTGGAGATCATCACAATGAACTAATCCTGTCCATGTACTAGTGATTAATCTCTACCACCAATATTGCATTGGTAGCATACATGATGCAATCTACAATGTACAAAGGATCAATCAATCACTGAGGGGGAGTAGCACATGCAATTTTTTTCCCCTCTTGTAAGTCAAAATCAATCACAAATCAATGAGCAAGTTTTGGCGGCAGTTTATTTTTTAATCTTGCTTCCATCGAGTTTTATGAAGGGATTATACATGATACTTCATTTTAGGATTTCTGTTTTGATTCTCTGTGTACTAGGTTAATATAGGTTGCGTTTAGTTCCGTGTCCTAATTTTTTTAAGTATATGGACACACATTTGAAGTATTAAATATAGACTAATAACAAAACAAATTACATATTCCGACCACAAACTGCGAGACGAATCTTTTGAGCCTAATTAATCCGTCATTAGCACATATGGGTTACTGTAGCACTTACGGCTAATCATGATGTAAATAGGTTCAAAAGATTTATCTCGCGATTTACATACAGCCTATGCAATTAGCTTTTCTTTTTATTTACATTTGATGCTCCATACATATGTCCAAACATTCGATGTGATGAAAAAGTTGCAAGTTTGAAGAAAAAAGTTAAAATCTAAACACAGCCGTAGTAGTTTTTTTTATCTCACCTTCTATATAAAAAAGGGAAACAAACAAAAGAGCTTTATCAAAATGACAATAATTTGTATGTAAGCAGAAGACAGAAAGACACTTAGATTTTATACTTCGGAGATTTGATCATATACCTTCTTTTATATCGAAAAGGTAGGCAAAATGTGAGAAAAATGAACCAAAAAGCAGAGCTGTTCCCATAAGCAGTTTTCCCTCATTGGCCTAAAAAAATAAGTCAAAGCTAAAATTTTAAATTTTAAAAACTTAATTTTGAAGATGTTTTTAATGTAGTTTCTTTTTAGCACTGACTTATAGATCAAACACGTGTATAAAAGTTTTACCCACATTGTTTTGATTGCTAATAAACCGTTACGACTTGGGTAACTGACGAGGCTTAAAACCTATGTTACTTAAATAAAAAAGTATTATGTTTTCAACAACATATAGGAGGGAGCTATGTAAACGGGTTTGATTTGAAATTAATTCATCTAAAAATGTTTGAATTCCTCTAAAAAACGAAGGAGTTTGAATTGAGTGCGAGCAGCTCACTTGGAAATTGGAATGTCCCAAGCTAAAACAAAAAGAGTGAATCCACTAGTGTAGTGCTCCACTACACTCTTGCAATAGCAGAGCAGGGTATATAAAATCTGGCGAATCGAGAGGAGGAGGCGATCAATTCGATTAAATTCACTAAAATTCAATTCGAATTCAGATCGAATCGAGGGATCCCCCATCCCCATGGCGTCGCCGACGTCCTCCGCCTCCGCGCCGGCGAGCCACCACCTGCGCCTCTGGTGGCGCCGCCGCGGCCGCGGCGGCGCCGTCGGGGCCACCTTCACCGTCGCGCTCCTCGCCGCCGCGCTGCTCCTCGCCCTCTCCTTGTACGCCTCCTCCCTGCCCCGCGCGCCTACCACGCCCTCCTCCTCCTCTAACCTCGTCGGCCTCACCCTCGTCCGCCGCGCCAAGGAGAAGGGCGCGGGTCAGTAGTCCTCTCACCTCGATTTGATCCCCTTTCGTGTTTTGCAACATAGTTGGTCAGGTGGAGTGTGTTTATGCTTTTGAGTGTGATTTTGCAGTGTGCTTGGATGGGAGCGCGCCGGGGTACCATCTGCAGAGAGGCTCCGGCACTGGATCTCAAAACTGGCTCCTTCACTTGGAGGTGAGCAGCCTTTTGGATCTAGTTCTATTGATTTAGATACAGAACCATGAATAATTAGTTTAGTTTAGAGGACAATGCATGTTTCGTGGGTTTCAAAACCCTTGAAATTTAAGCGCTGGAATAACTGCACTTTCGAGTAAGAGTTGCTCATGTTGTTCATGTCATGGTATGATCTATAAACACTCCGATTATGATAGCCTGACACAAACTTTAGGCATGATTTAGCTGTAGCTGACTCGGTGTTGATGAAACAATGGGCCTAGAATGGTTTTGCAGAAAACTAATGTTTGGAGCATATCAGCGTATAGCAATGCGCTGGTAATGGCACAGTTAGATTATTCATGAAATGATAGTGTTGTGGTATCTAGAGGGCTTCTTATTTTTACCATTTTTAACTAATGGATACTTGCTAATTGATGCTCCCGAGCTTCAGTTTCTTGTCTGCCCAGTTTTTCTTGTTTGCGTTATTGTCTTTGCCATTCTTGTCAGCTTTTCAATTTCCTGAATTATCGTGTTCCATGAGCTTTAGGGCGGAGGCTGGTGCCGGAATCTGAGGTCATGTGCTTCACGTCAAAAATCGGTGTTGGGTTCATCGCAATACATGGAATGCCAGATTGAGTTTGCTGGGATCTTGAGTAATGACAAATTTCAAAACCCAGGTAGCTACATTTTATTTTTATACTAGCTGTCTGCTCCTTTTATTAATAATGTGATCCAGTATTCAAACTGCTGTATTGCATCATTAGTACAATCTACAGTGTGTACAGTAGTCCCAGGTAGCTACATTTTATTTTTATACTAGCTGTCTGCTCCTTTTATTAATAATGTGATCCAGTGTTCAAACTGCTGTATTGCATCATTAGTACAATCTACAGTGTGTACAGTAGTCGTGCCTTCTGGTAAAATAATCATGTCCAAATAACTCGAGTTCTGTTGTTGCAACAGTTTTTTTACAACAGTGTTTTCAGCAGCATGAACAAGTCCTCATTGAGACTTTGAAAATTTCTTGGATAGTTATTTACTTACTGTATTTTGCAGCTTAACCTATCGTATCATATTTTACTGATTGTTTCTGACATAAATAATATATTTCACCATCATCTGTATATAACTAGCAGTTCATGCATTTGTATCATGTGTTCAAACAGAACTATCCATCTAGTATTTACTTGGTGTGAGATCAGGCCAATTGTTGACTACAGAACAAATTCCTTGCTCCTTTCAGGAGTAATATTTTTGAACTCCTAAATACTGGTAGTCTCATTCAGCTTGCCTTCCATGTGCAGATTTTTACAATTGGAATAAAGTTAAGATAAGGTATTGTGATGGGGCATCATTTTCTGGAAACGTCAAGAACGAATTGCAGGTCTGATTTGCCCTTTTTTTTTTCAATAGATGTTCTTAGTAACTCAGTATTTGTTCTGACATCCAGGTATTGTTAATCATTGCAGAATGGCACAAAATTCTTTTTCCGGGGCCAGCGTATCTGGGAGGCAGTAATGAGCGAACTTCTACTAAAGGGACTCAGGCATGCCAAACAGGTAATTCCTAGCAAGCACAACAATGTTCTTTTTTATTATTTTTCAAGCGTATTCATGATTCAAATGCATGAATCAAACATCCATCTTAATGTTATATTGTTGCCCTGCATGGATATATGCATTTTTAGCTGAGGTTAACTGGGTAAAAATATTCTAAGAACAGAATAGGTCCTTTTGGCTCATTTCTTTGGTAATCAATTGAATGACACAAAGTTTCGGTGTGTTTCTGAAGATATTTGGCAATCAATTAAATGTTGTTTACTGAAATATAATGTATTCCAAAGAAACAATATGGCTGATTAGTGATCGATAAATAACATGGACCCGCTACATATGAAGTATTGACAATGGTGTCTAACTTTACTTTTCTGTGTACCCAAGGGATCTCTTCACCATTGTCTATGAAGCTCTGTATAACTACTTGCTGATCTTTACTGTATGTTTTTCTTACCATAGTATGTATTCACATGCTTACAAAATGACCGTATATCTTGATCTAATATACTATGCTGTTTTCCATATAAGAAATTCAACTGTTGTACTGATGGTGTAATGCTGATATTTTCCAGCTTTCAGGCTTTTCTAACAGGATGCTCTGCTGGTGGGCTAGCCACTTTCATTCACTGCGATAATTTCCGTACACTGCTACCAAAGGATTCTAGGGTTAAGTGTCTTGCGGATGGTGGATTTTTCCTCGATGTGTATGTTTCCAAATCACCTTTGCACGTGCTTTGTGATTTTCAATATTTTTTTCATGCATGCATGAAGTACTTGCTAGATATTCTGTGTCAATCTGAGTATTTGCAGCTGTAGGCACAAATAGTAACTAGAAGACTTCAAACATCCAAACTATTTGAGTGTATGAACATTGAAAATCTTGTACTGACGTATATATAAAATGAAATCGTCCAACGAGATGATATTGTGTTATTCTTACTCCGGTGTCTTGTTATAAAATCATTCCTGGACTGGGCCAACTCGAGGTGGTACATATGCATTCATTCTGACCTTTCAGATTAGATTTTTTTGGAGTTTGCACTTCCTCTACGGCATCACCTAAGTCACTAGTTCATTTCAAGGCATTAATTGTCAGCAAGCAAACATGTTGCACACTCCTTCAGCACTAGCTGATCAGGAATAAGAAAGTATATTCAATATGCCATTTTTTCAGAGAGAAAAAAATATACTGTAATAGAAAATTGTACTGCATTATCTTCAGCTTCTATCTATCTCATTATGTTTTTTTTTCTCCATTACAGAGAGGACATTTCTGGGCAAAGGACCATGCGAGCATTCTACAACGATGTTGTCCGTCTTCAGGTCTTTCCCTTCCTTCCTCCTATAAAGTTATCTGTTTCCAATACTCAAATCTCTTTCTCGAATGTCCTTTTTTCAGGATCTGCGTGGAAGGTTTCCCCATTGTGGTCCAAACATGGATCTGGGCCAGGTTAGTCATGGTATGCATTTATATCAGTAATCTTGCTATCCCTGATCTTATGCTTTACTAAATCCTGGCCATTAACTTTGTTCCAGTGCTTCTTCCCAAGTGAAGTTGTAAAGGACATCATCACCCCAGTATTTGTTCTTAATCCAGCGTATGATGCTTGGCAGGTATCCTTATTTCCACCACTAGAGTTCTCCAGTGTTGTGTAAAACTATCAGTGTCAAATATTCTTAAAAATTCCCATTTCAGGTGCAACATGTGTTGAGTCCAGTAGCATCTGACCCTCAACATTCATGGCTAGAATGCAGACTGGATATTAGCAAGTGTGATTCGAACCAACTTGAAATTCTCCAAGGTTGAGTCACCTTGTGTCTTATTATATAATTAACTTATCCGCCTTTCAGGATTTTGTAGTCATGTTTTTCTATATGAAACATACTTTGCAGGTTTTAGGAAAAAGTTACATGATACTATAAGTGAACTTAAGCACAAAAAGGACTGGGGCTTTTTTATCGACTCATGCTTTATACACTGTCAGTCGTTGAACTCCTTGACTTGGCATTCTCCATCTTCTCTTAGAGTCAACAACAAGGTAATGCTTTCATCCTCTAAAAAGAAAACAGAAAGAAAAAAAATGTCTACAGTTCAAGGAACATTATATATTATGTCAAATTGACAAATTGTAGGTTAGCCTGTGTTGAGGGCTAGCCTTTGCAAATTTATGGTGACCGTCAGCTGACTTAACATCTAGTATTTACAGTGATGATGTTCTTGAGATTATTTATGTGTTTTAAACTATTCGATGTACAAGAAAGAAAGGTGTCCTGTTAGTCACAAGATAAGAGTGACTCTATAAATAGTTTGCCGAGGATTCAGCCTATAAAAAAACAGGAAGAAGCTCCTCAGCAGTCAGCTGTGCTACTGCTGTACATGAGTACATCGTCTAAGCCCCATAAATATATTATTTAATGTAACATCACAGGACATCCCTTTGTAGGTCATCTGTTGTAGATTGCATGTCTCCACTACGGCATTACCTCATGTTAGTTTAATTTCCTGCACATGATACTTACTGAGCTAACCATGAAGGTGTCAGTATTCCTCCAATCTTCTTGGTTTACTTCTTCAATATTTTGCTCGTGGTCTAACGTTGAATCTGCTGAATAGACCATTGCAGAGGCGGTTGGAGATTGGTTCTTTGACAGAAGAGAGGTGAAGGAAATTGATTGTGAATATCCCTGCAACCCGACTTGCCACAACTTGGTTTTTGCCAAGCCTTTCAAGGCATGATGAAGTTCTAAACACGTTTCTCTTTTTGCCATGATATTGTAAAACAGGAAATTTTATATCAATCATCGGTCATCATGTAATCTTCAGACTCGTCGGGTGTTTGACACCCAAAATCATACATCTGAGATAGTTAGACTGGCCGAATTTTTTTTCCACGCAATTTATGTAGGATTATAAGTAGTTTATTCAAAAGTAGAATTGTATGTGCTGTACTTCACAACTTGTTTTCTATAAAATAAACAAAAAGTGTATTTCTTGTACTGTTGTAGTATTGCCTATACATACATGTCTGGTCAATCTACCCTATCATAATTTGGACCCTGTACCTGCCATCAATCAGCTTAGATATTTTAATTTTCCATACGATTAACGTAATGATTTCTAGCTCTTGAAAGCAAACATGTCGTTTTCTTCTGACCTTTTGACCTTGTTCTAATAATATGCGTGGCATATTGATTAATTGAGGAGATGATGCAATTTAACTGACAATTCCATCTCACGAAAAGGCCAGCCATGGGCTGTCATTTGAGATAGATGGGCATCTAACCTGTCATTATCCGTTAAGCAGTGGGATTACTGATCGTTTCCATTACAGGGACGCGCACGAGGCAGCCTGAGAAAAGAGAAGGAAGCTAATGAAAACGAAAGCGGCCAAGACCAAGAAAACGAGTCGACGGTGATGCCGCGTTAGGTCGCTCATCAACAGTTGTCTCTCTTTCCCTCCATTTCTGGTCCAGCCATAAACACCATTAATACCGTTTTTTTATCCTCTTTCCAAAGGAAAATTTGCTCAATACTTGACTGAAGTTAACATGACATTGTTCATCACTCGTTTTCAGAAAAGAAAACAAAAAAAAAAGAGAGGGGACATTATTCATCACTGTAGTGGTAGTGTGCCTATAGGCACGTCACTGCTCTCCAGGAACAAAACGACACAACCATTGTCTCCTAATTCAGCGTCTATTGGGACCCAATGGGAGCACAAGTAAAAACAGCCATTGGGGCTGAGTGATGAGCCATCAGAGAGTAATTAATCGCACTTTGAAATTATTAGTTAGTTTCTGTCACATGATGAGGTGTGGCACCAAGATATTTTTTGCTTGAGTGATCATATGGACTATAGAATGGCCAAAGCTTCACAAATATCTGTCCGTGTTATCGTCAGTTCGTCACAAGAAGCAAAAGAACTACTAGGTCGATCACCAAGCCTGACGTGGAATTGCAGCCATGACTTGGAAGGTTTCCAAATTCCAAGTTGTGTGCTGTGTCCTGGTCAAAACAAACTACAGTAGCACTTGGCTTGTGTCTCATATAGTCATCTCCTAGTCCTTAAACTCTGCATAACAACAAAGCTTTTGCCACAAAAATTCTTGTTATCTCCATGAATTTCTTTCAATCTAAACCCAATCCACACGGCAGACTTCAGTGTTAATCAGAGTTGGTCCTCAGTCTCACCTAAACCTATGATGCTAAGTCCATCTTTCCAAGTGAAATGTAGTGGTATGATTTGTCGATAGAAAAATTATGCTACTCCTGGATCTCACAATATCACTGCAGGTAGGAGCACAAGAGAAGGTACAGATCGCAAGGACAACCATACAGCTACAGGCAACAACAGTCTTCATTTTATCAGCCTGAAGAAAAGAAACAATCTGATGCTGATGCCATCACGAACGAACGAAGGAAGCCAATTACTAGCAGTAACAATCCGGCTGTAACAGCCGGACGACGATGGACAGTGGCACTGACAGAGACAGTGACACGCCACCACAGTTCAAAGAACCGGTACACACTGGAGTACGGTACATACAATGTCATCACATAGGCAGAGACCGCAGCTGCTGAATTCATGGCGATCCAATGGACCACCCTGCTGATGGCTGCAGCATCACCAGGACATGAACTCGCACCATTATAACACGAGACAAGGGCCAAAAATGGGGGCATGATTCATCACACAGAGGAGGAGGGGTCAGGCCGGCGCAGAGCTCACATGCCATGGCAGGCTAACTTTAGAGGTGACGAACATGAACCCCGTTTCACATCTCTGCTGCATGCATCCCTTAACCACACCAACACTCACTGTGTGATTGATGATGAATTGCTCTCACTCACTCACTCACTCTCTCTCTGGTCTTTCAGAGCTCCTATGCATATGCTAAGCTTAACCCGGCAAGCCGAAAAATAGGGTGGGCACACAGACAATGGGGAGTGGAGGGTTCTACTTATTTAGTCCCTATCTATTTAACTTTCCATGGATCAAAGTTGCTCCAAATTAGCCATTGGATTTTCATCTGGGTTTCTGATACCAACGGATGTTTTGAGGATGATGCGGCGATTGTCCGTGCGTTGTTCTGCTTTCATAGATCGTGCTCAGGCTTGTCCAGGTTGCTGCTGTCACTGTCCGCCATGCGGCTCGAGCCACGGCCAAGCTTTGAGAAGGAGCCCATGGCCGAAGGTAGCCCTTTGAAGCTGCTGCTGCCCTCACTGAGGTTGTGAGATCGACGCGACCGCTTCCGGGTGAGCTGCAGGGATGACGGCTTGTCAGGATCACAAGCAGACCTTGTTTGGGCCACCACCAGCCGTGAGATGCTGCCCCGGCAGAATGGGCAGGCCGGTGAGGGCGGTGTCAGGGTCGTCGGATTGGGTTTGTTGTGACAGCACAGTGCCAGCGTGCACGGTGCACACATTTGATGTCCACAGTCTTGCACCTCAATGGTGCAAGCCTGGTCGAAGCAGATGCAGCAAAGCTCCGTGTCGCTCACCTGTGCCCAAATGATCAACACAGCCATTCAGTCATCATGCAAATGCACAGAAAGCTAAATTACACAATGTGTTTATGGGATCCCAATCTGACAGATAACACTGAAATTGTTCAGCACTCAAATACCTCTGAGCATGCATCGTCATCGGCACTGTCATCACCGGGCGAAGGGGATGGCAGGGAGTACTTTGTGCCATTCAGGATTTTCTTCTCCCTCTCCCTGTTGGCTTCCATCAGAGCTGCTTCCAGGAGAGCCTTAGCTTCTGGTTCAAGCTCACTGATGAACTTAAGTGGGGATGGCCACACCATGGGCTCTGCTGATGTAGGGTTCAGCAAAGCTGCACATGCTCCATGGTTCCGTTTCAGCGCAACAGAATAGGGAATTCTCCTGGGGAAACAAAAACCATTAAAATTAAAATCAGTGGCAGAGCATGGGCAATTCAGCAAAAGGACAGGTCAAGTTTGAGAAGAACAGCAAGCTCATGTGAATTCAGCAAATGGTCAGCGAGTTCACCTGTTACTACTTGCTAGACTGAGGTCTACTGTCTAAGAACTGCAGGGATTCTACTAAGCACCTAAATTCAACACCTGAACTTCACTAACAACTATGCTTGATAGCACATCAATGTTTTCTTCTATATGCGCCAAGACAAAAACTGAAGGGGGAAAGATCTAGTTCTCACCCAGCCGAATCCCTTTGGAGCCGATCAGCTCCCCAGGCAAGCAGCTTCCTGATGCAATCCAAGTTCCCGCTACGAGCAGCCAAATGAAGCGACGTGCTTCCAGGGAAGCTGCATCAAACAACACCACCACACGAATCAGCACTGGTAGCAAGGAACCAACAGAGCTGAACAGCTGATCACCAAACATTAATTTGGGATGCCACCAAGATCAGCAGCATTACCCATATGATCCTGTCAAAGCCGACACAATGGCGCCGTTCTCCAGCAACACCTGCACGCACCCCGGCCGCCCCTGCCTGGCCGCGAGATGCAGCGGAGTGGCGCCGTGGTCGTCCCTGACGTTGACGAACCGGGCGAAACCCCTGCCAAGCTTCGACAGCAGCAAGTGAGCTCACAGAGACATCCAGAGCTATTCTATAGCTGTACCAAAGCCACACGACAGGATGAGGATGATCTCACCATGAGTCGGCCACCGGCGTGGTCTGCGCGGCGGCGAGGATGGCCTGCAGGCAGTCGACGTGGCCGTAGTACGCCGCGTGGTGGAGGCAGGTCCTCGCGTGCACCGAGTCGAACATCAAGATCTGGTGCGAAATCGTAACTGTTACTGATTTTTTCAAACAGAATTACTACAGTATTATCAGTATACTGATTTTGCAGTTCTTTTCTCTCACATTTGCGTCGGCCTGGAGGAGCTTGAGCACGCAGTCGATCTTGCCGTGCATGGCCGCGAGCATCAGCGGCGTCTGCAGCATAAGCAGAAGAAGAGCAAAGCAAGGTGAGAAAACAAAAGGACAAGACGAGATCTTTCTTTTTCATTCAAAATCAAAATATGATATTTTCAAGCAGATACTAGTAATTCGAAAAACAGTAGCAAAAAAGAAGAGAGATTTTGGTGGGGATCTCGCACCTGCTTGTGCCGATTCACCGCGTCCGGCGGCGCCCCGCGATCCAAGAACATGGAGAGCACCTGGAAGAAGAAGAAGAAAGAAAACAAGAGAGAAAGGGTGAGACAAGCAAGTCCCGGAGACCGAGGGAAGAAGAAGAAGAAGAAGCAGTGAGGTGAGCGACCTCGATGCGGCCATTGGCGGCGGCGATGTGGAGGACGGAGAGGCGGTCGTAGAGGGTGGCGCGGCGAGCGAGGGAAGGGTCGGCGGCGAGGAGGGCGGCCAGGGCGTCGAGGTCGCCGAGCTGCGCCGCCCGGAAGAAGTCGTGCTCGTCGCCGGTGCGGGCGCAGCTGACACCGTGACCCATGGCCGCACCTCCCTCCTCCTCCGCCGCCGGCGAAGGCGCAGTGGGTGGCGCTGCCGTGGAAGGAAGGCCGAGAGTGAGAATGGGGAAAGGAAGGAGCTCAACGCCTCTTTATTGACCCTTCTTCCTTCTTCACTCTCTCTCTCTCTCTCTCTCTCTCTCTCTAGCTAGTCTCTCCCTTTCTCTCTCCTCTCTTTTTTTTTAAAAAAAGAAGAAATATTCAAAACAGGTAGAAATATCTTCGAATTATTTATTTGAGCCTTTCACTGAATGCTGAAATTTTTTTCATTCCTCGTAACTGCTACCCCCCCCCCCTAATTTATGACTCTCTTCAACTCATTTTTACAATTCAGTTTGCAGTTTTTTTTTTACTTTTTCCAATTGGATGAAAATTGTACGGATAGGAAAAGTATCCATATTTCAAAGAAAAAAAAGGGTCTAAAGTTTCTTCGATTCCCTGTGATTAGTCTCCTCTAAGAAAATAACGTGGGTATCACTTTACTTTTGAGAAGTCTCCTCTGTGTTCTTTCGGCCAGTGATCGATCGATGCTCTTGTTACCTAAACCGCAGGTGAGATTAGATTAGGTGCTAATGCTACTACTTTGTACTACACGCCTACCGTTGCTCTCTGGTTATCGTGGACCCTTCTTTCCCTTCTTCAAAGGCAAGTCTATGTAAAATGTCTCTAGCTAGCCTCTCTTATTTTGTGTTGCCACTGCACTGCACCACACAACCAGACTGACAAAAAAAATAACCAGGTTGATTGGCTTATTGGGCTCATTTGCCAAGCATTTACAGTGGCTAAAATTGTACTAGTTCTTTTTTGGGTAAAATCATGTTTGTTGTTCATATGTGAAAGTAGATTAATTTATTGTTATTTTTAACATTACCAAGTTTTTCATTGTCGAAATTTAAAGAGGCAACATAGCAAATACGCCATTACCAACGCAACCCCTGCTAAATTCTAATAATTCTAAAATTTTCCTCTTAAAACCCTATCAAAATTTGAATAGGCCTCGAACCAAGCACTAGAAACAATTATTTTCTTTCTTTTTTTTGCAATTTTTTTTGTAAGTTGTAAATTGAACGAGTCAAGCAGTTTTATTTGATAAAGAAATTGTCACCCGCTATATTTTATTTCCCTCTATTTATCCACTACATCATCATAACCTAAGCAAAAGAGATTTAAGAGACATACCCAAATAAAAAAGAAATGTCGTAGTAATCTTTGCCGAATAGGAGAAAAAAGATTAGTCATCATTTCTTTTATATTTTTCCCCAATAAAATGAACACGCGTGTACTCTTAAATCAAAACTAGCGAGATCTTTTAAATCTGCTTGCGTCCTTCATGGATTAGGTAATCAAGAAAATACACTCAAAACTGAAAAACAAAAGTGAGGAGTCGTGATCTTTGGGGATGAGTCGGCATGTATGATTGATGAAGCCATGAAGGCAATCATCATGGTTTATCTTCTCTTTTTTCCGGTGTGGTGGAAATGGTTTTATTGGACGTATATATTATTAGTGGGCACAAATCAAATTATTGCGAACTTGCAAGGAGACGTGTGTGTACAAGAAAAGGAGAGCAGATGGTAAACGTAGGACCCATCACTCCATGCATGCGTGGTACCATACTACCATTAGACATGCAAAGCTCCCTTTTAATTAGCATGATCATACATAGTTAACTTAATTTGTGTATAATATTTTTCTTTTTTTCCTCCAAATGGGGGTTGTTGCAAGTTTGAAGGAGAATGATTCCCTCCATTTTCAAGGCGACATATTGCAACTTTGCAAGCAATGTGGCTCAAAGAAGGGAGCACTTTGTAAAAGTAAATAAAAGTCTTTTTTTTTTGGGTAATGTAGTGTGTCGGTGCTTCTTTCTTTCCGGCTATTATTATGTTGGAACTGAATTATTGAAATGAGTTAATTAGTGGATAGCACAAAACTATTGTGAAATTAAATGCTGATTTCTAGGTAAATTAATTAATCGATCATGGAATCATCTATCCCGTACATATTTCCTCTGTTCTAAAAAAAAATAATTTGAGTGGGGATTCAACACCATTTAGAACGATGAATCTGGATAATCTTTTTGAGTGGGGATTCTAGCTTGATTTTTTGTTGACAAGAGGGAGTACATGCATTGGGGACACGAAATGAAGTTTTTCGAGATTGAGCTGTAAAGGCTCACAACTCGTACAAGAAGAAGAGTTTTGACAAGAAGCCTTGATTGATCGTTTGATGTGATCCTTACTCTCGTTCTGTTGTGTTTTGTTTTTCTTGCCCCATGTCCGATATATGCATGCAGAATCGTCCCATCACAGATTCGAAATGGGGCATTCTACTGGAGATCCACAGTTTTGACAATGGTATACTGTAGTAATTGCATCGTTTTGGTAGTAGAGTTTTTTTTTTAAATGGAACATTTGCAGTTATTGTTAGCTGGGGTAAAGGACTGCAATTTGCAATTTAAAAGGAACAGGATTAGATCACGCTAACCAAACCATATGGTGATGACAGTGTGGTAAGCAGGGTTGAACATGAGAAGGTATTTTTAGCTCCTCAAACAAACAAATGAGCTCCGTTTTCTTCTCTAAATCATTTGCTTAAATCTCTACTCAAGAATCCAGATCTCTAAACAATACTTTAGTTAATTTCAAAGAGGCCCTACTGATTTGTCGGTTTGCATCCAAAGATGATGGGCAGGGAAGATCTCCCGTGGGTAGGAGCAGAAGCAGAGCATGGAACAACGAGCTAAGCACATGTCATGTACACACCCATTTCTCATTTCTTATTGATTAATTGGTTCGCACGGTTCAGAAGGTTAAGTAGGAGTAATTAATTAATGGGTACACACATCACTGTGGCATGTACCTGGACAGATGAACCACTGGCCCCACATCATTTTCCTGCCTAGCTACTTGCTTAATGCACATGCTGTGTTACATAATCCATCCTACTTGGATGAGCCAGGTTAGTTTACTGACACCATCTACTTAAGTTATTTTTGAGCTGATGGATGCATGGTCTAAATGATTCACTAGTACTATGATCACATGTAGCCATAGATGATAAGCATATTTCTTATTTACCCAAACTACCCAACCAATCTTATTATTAAATCTTGAGCAGTTGCGCCGTTAAAGTTAGCTGCTTTAACTCAAATGGATTAACCTTAGCTTAACTTGCTGACGAGAGCCTAGCTAGCTCCATGACCGTGCAACAGTGAATGATAAAAGAGAGATATAATCAAATTGTCGTCAAATTAACTGCAGATCAGAGATGCATCGATCACAGCCACTTGTGAGTAGTGTACGTAATGTCAATTAGCAGAACACTACTGTTCCAATTGGGCCACTATTAGGGTGGACCTAAGCTTGCCTAGTGTGGTCTCTTGCTGATATATAGAATCAGTTCCAACCACTGGTTATTGTTACTGTGGCCCCCCATCTCTCTTGCACTGATTCCACTGATCATCGATCCCAATTATATATGTATGTGGCACGTTTTATCTCATCACATTTCTATTTTGGTAGTACTGATTAGTCAAATAGAGATTAGAAAATTAAGCACATAATACATGTTTTACATTAATATTGTCTTAGTTTTTATATGGACTTCTGAAATTAATATTGATTTTGTGAACTATTTGGCTTTTTAATGAAAGCTGGGCGTATGCATTTCCTCTAAAAAAATAATATTGATTTCTCAGTTTTCTATGCAAATTAGGGTTGGCGAAAGATGGCTAAAAAATAAAGTAGAAATAATATAGTATGATCTCAACAAAAACAAAACCTACCAATTTTCGGAGTCTCTCTGAAAACATGGACAATGATTTGGTGGGGGAGATTTACCATTTAAGTTTTCCTCAATAAAGTTTGCTTTTGATCTTTTATGAAAAAACTAAAGTCAGAGGAAAATATCTTCGCCCGGGTAGTACGCGTGGCATGCATAATGCTGATGGATGTTTCATTAGCAAAGACAGTCACAACCAAACAAACTTTTGGTTTAATTAAAAGTAAACCCGGGATTAGAATATATAATAACATCCTTATATATTGCCCAATGCTTTCTGTTAATTAGTAGTAATGGTTTCGCAATCAGGTTGATGACATGAGATGCTCGAGAGACTGACACGTCCATTACCGGACGGACCATTGGTTGTTACTGATGTTAATGTTGTTCTGTTCACAAGGATTGGCGAATCGAATCCAATGAAGCGTGATTATGGTGGTTGCTAGATCTACTTGTAATTATCAATTATGACTCACTAATCACTGTAGTTTGGATGCTAAAGTTGAAAGAATTGGTGCTAATGGCTTCGGCTCACCAAACATTGGTAGGTTTCGATGCTGACATCTCTGAAACAGGAATATGGTTTTACATAGGTGAAATCTCTGAATTTTTACTCAATTTTGCATACTCTGATAATCTGAATCTGAGCTAGCATTCCATTTGAAAATCACAGAAATAACAGGAATATTGATCGTTCGTAGCATTTCTATCAAATCCCGCATAGTTTATGGATCTTAAAAAATAAACAACAAAGCTAGCTAACACATTGAAAATTTCAAGTTCCATTCAGGAGATCGGGCTATCAAGCTCCAATCCCTTGTGCAAATCATTGGTTACCAATTGAGCCCAGCCCATGAAAGACGGATAGGAAATTCGGCCCATTTGAACATATGAGCAAACAGCAGCATTGTCACCTCTGAATGAGTGATCAGAACGAAATCAAAATTCTCAAGAATAGCATATGGCATCATACGCGCTCCTCTTTTTTTAAAAATTTTTTTTTTCAGAGAAATGTATTTTTTACCCAACCTCTATATCCAACCGGATATATGCAGCCATTTAAATTAGAAACTTAGCCCCACAAACAACCCAAATTCGCTCATATGAAGATTTGAGCTCAAGACTTTGAGGGTGCTAATTAGCTCACTGCAACCACTAGGATCATTTGTGCTCCTCCATGACCCGTTCTAGTAATTAAACACTGTTCCGTATCAAGAATCCACGATCCCTTCAGACAAAGAAAAGACATTCTCCAATGGCATTTTCCTGAACCCTTGACTGAATCTCTGAATTGTTCAGTTTAAAAGAAATTAATGCAATGCCAAAGTTGCAAAAAGAACCAACCAACCATTGCTGCAGAATACAAATCGCAAATGCGTTCGTGTTCAATAATCATAACTGAATTTTTATCATTTGAGAATATGTGTAGACAGCAAAATTGCAATGTAGAAGTAAAAATATAGCATATGGAGGCATCCCATGATCCGTTGTAAACATTGAGCTGCATCACGAATGAATTTATGATCAGGCCATCAGGGAAAAGAAACATTTCTCCAATGGCGTATTTCCTGAACCCCTGACTGAATCTCTGAATTTTTCAGTTAGAGAATGCAAATCGCGAACGCGATCGAACTCGATAATCAAAACTGAATCTTTTATCAGTAATGTTTTCATGTACACTGTATAATCGATCGCAAACGTAGTATACGTATACAAGCGCTCATCGCTTCTCTTTACGAATCAATCAAACCCAATCAATCTCGCAAGAGCGGATTACTACTTCTTATTCACAACTTGATCGAACTTGAACTCTCATCAATGGCGCGCGGATCATGCCATCTTGCTCAGTAGTAGCCACCGTACGCCGACGCCATGGGCATCCCGTACTGCACCGGCATGGCGCCGGCGGCGAGCCTGTCCATGGCGACCTGACCCTGCATGCCGCCCTGCCTGTACTGCGCCCACATCTGCTGCTCCTGCACCAGCAGCTGCTGCTTCCTCTCCATCTCCGCCATCTGCACGTACGCCGGCGGCGGCACGCCCATCGACGCTGCGAACGGGTCGCCGCCGGTGGTTCGCGCCGTGCCGTCGGGCGCCGGCAGCGCCAGCACGGGCGCGCGGCGCGGCGCCGCCACGCTGCTCGCGCTCCCCGTCGCCGCCTCGTGCGCGCCCACCTGCTGCCGGACGGCGCCCTGGTCGTACATCCCGTGCAGCAGCAGCGGGTCCAGCCCGCCGCCCATGGACGCCTTCTGCCGCGACAGCTTGCTCGCCGTCTCCACCAGGGCGAGCTCCCACTCCGCCTTGCCGGCCTCCGCCGCCGGCGTCTGCCACGCCGACGTCACCTCGGCCGCGTCGTCCGACGGGAAGGCCACCCACCCGCCGTTCTCCGTGCCGGAGAAGAGCGCCAGCGCGAGCTTGTTCTCCTGCTCGTCTTCCACCACGGGTTCCCTGAGGTCGACGAGGTCGCCAGTCTGCGGCGGCGGCGGCGGCGGCGCCATTTGTTCTGGTGCAACTTTCTCCGGCGCCGATCGCGATGGCTCAGCGGCGTGATGCTCCGGCGCCGGGAGCGCCTTGATGCCGTTCATGTCGAGCTCGTCGCTCTGGGCAGTTTGCTGCTGCTGCTGCTGCCATGGAGGCGGCGAGCTGTGACCCGCCCTGCCGCGCTCTCGCACGAACTGCTCGAGCGTCTCGAGGAGCTTGTCGTCGATGCGCTTGACGTCGGCGAAGTCGGCCGGGCGGGCGAGGCGGACGTCGTCGCACCAGCCGTAGAAGGCGAGGAGGTCGTCGGTTTGCTTGGCGGTGCTGACGTGTGCCTCGAAGACCTTGACGCAGTCGGGGTAGTCCATGTCGAAGAAGCGGTCAAGGAGGACGGCGAGCACGACGGCGACGTCGGAGCAGAGCTGCGTGCTCTCCTTGACCACCGGGTAGAGCGTGGCGAGCACGACGCGGCTTTGCCTCGCGCCGCCGGATGGGCGGCACGCGAGGACGCGGTCGAGCAGCTGGCGGAGCTGCAGCGCCCGGCCCAGGAGCGCCTCGGTGTCCATCTCTTGCACCGTCGCCGCCGTCGACCCCCGCGGCGGCGATCCCGTCTCGTCGGCGAAGCGCACGGTGCGCGGCGCGGGGAGGAGGGATATGAGGAAGCGGGCGCGGTGGTCGAGGTAGAGCGCGTAGGCGCGGACGAAGGCGGAGTGGTCCCACGACGCGGAGTGCGCTTCGTCGCGGAACTCGGCGAGGAGCGCGAGCATCGGCTCGCCGCGGCGGCCCGCGGGGCGGACGAGCTCGTGGCGGAAGTGCGGGTCGCCGTCGGCGACGAGGCGGTGGGCGAGCGCGAGGCACTTGGCGGCGACGACGTAGTCGCGCGTCCTGGAGAGGCGGCGCGAGAGGGAGGCGGCGCAGGCGGCGGTGTAGGGGCGGGAGTGCGCGGTGAGGGTGACCACCTCGCGGACATGGCGGTCCTCCGCGGGGGCGTCCTCGTGCGACGTCGCGCGGACGATGGCGACGTCAAGCTCCGGCGCGATGGCGGCGGAGACCTTGGCGATGCCGATGGAGGTCTGGTCCTTGACGGCGCCCAGCGCCTTGCGGATCGACATGGCGCCGGCGATGGAGCAGCGAGCAGAGCAATGGGCAGTGGCAATGGCGAGCTCGCGACGAGGTGTTCATCCGGTTCTTGACGACGTAGGAGGACGCGGTTTTTGAAGAGGAGGGAATTGGTCAGCAGAAGATCGGACGGCTGAGATGGGAGGAAGGGTGGAGATGGACGGACGAGATGGATTCGGAGAGTGGGTGGCACGTAGGAGTGGAGGGGGCACAAGTCAAAGGCGTGGCCGGCGGGCGCTGACACTGGGCCCCATCGTTGGTTCGCTGGGAATTTAGTTGGAAAAATATGAATACTATTTGATTTCTTCTTGAGGAATTAAAACTCGTGTTGTCTTCACTCGTTTGGACCGGAAAAGTACACGTTTTCTTTTTTCTAATTTCGATTTCTTGTCATTTTGTTTGATGGATTTCTTCTTTGTGAGGTGCCTTCGAAAGGAAGGTAGAGAAAGTACCAGGAAAAAAAAAACTTGGAGAATCAAACGAGTTGATGGGTGGGAATTTTTAGTTTTTATCAAGATAGCATATATGGATCAATCAGATGATACGATTCCATATTCGAAATGTGCGTATTACATACTATGGATTTGTGGCCAGGCATGCATTCACAAAATGCAAAACATTTCCACTAAAAAAACAAATAAAAACATTCACATGGAAACTGATCGAGAAGTTTCAATTACGAATGAAATTGATCGGACGTTTCATTCTGATGAAGGGCCGTGCGGCCCAGTAATGGGATGGGCCTCCAGTGGGCCCACAGCACTCTCGCATGTATAGTTGGATAAAAGAGCATTTATTAATTAATTTGGCCATATCATACATCACACGATAATTAATCGTATAATCGATTGTCTAGCTAGTTACTTTAGTTAGCGTTTAATCCTTCAGCTAGGGAAGGTAAGAAATTTTAGAGCCTGCCTGGGAAGGTAAGAAATGTTTGCACTACTAAAACTTAAATTCTTACCTTCAGCTAGGGAAGGTAAGAAGTTTTTTGAACAGTACAAGGTCTATGGTCGGTGGTCCTCTTCAAGGAGTTTTTTTTGGCAAAGCTATAGCTATATCCACTTCAAAAAATCTTATTAGCCAAACAGTCTAGATTGAAAAGGCTCGTAACTGTACTTCACATAAACAAACTAGTAGCCAAACGTGATGTTTCTCTAAATTCTTATTAGCTACTCCCTCTATTTCATATTATAAGTCATTTGTATTTTTTACTAGTCAGCATTCCATGATCAAGACCTACATGCACAACAGCGCAATTATAAAACTTTGTTAAGTTTGACTAAATTCGTAGAAACAATTTTATAGTTATATTGTTGTGTATATATGTAGGTCTTGATCCTAATTTTTGTGGGCCTCATTCTGCTAAATTGCAGCCCAGGAATGACAAGGCCTCGAGTGGGCCCTTAAACTACACCCTGATCATATGTCACTTATCGTGAGCATTAGTTTAATTTAATTAATTAATGGGGTAGTGACATACCGCTCTGTACTAAAAAAATCAACCGAGTACCATGCGAATTTAGACATATTTCTGTTAAATTCATTGTACTAGAATATATCATATTAATTAATTAGTTATAGGTTTTTTTTATACTGAGGGAATAATTAATACTACTCCATACTCCTGCCTAAATATATTAGCTAGCGCCATGAGAAAGATATATGTATCAATCGGGTAAATTGAAACAGGAGAGAGTTTTCAGGGAAAACTTAACGCTAATTTGGACTAACAAACAATACATTCATGCATCCATCTACCCTATAATTTACCAACACAGTATTACATTCCTCATTCCTCGTTGATCGGTCAGGATGCCCTCTCACAGATCCAACGCCTCACGTCGCTCCCACCTTCTCCCATCCGCGATTCTCCCTCTAAACCGCGATCTCTCTCCCTATAATCTCTCCACCTAACCACGCCCCACCGCACCTCTCCCTCGCGCATCGCCTACCCTAATCGCCGCCTGCCGCTCACTCCCTCGCGCTCGCGCTGCCTCGCAGGTCCGCCGCCGCGCCGCTGCCGACCTAGGTCCCCCCCACGGCGACCAGGCAGAGACGGACGCGGGCATCCATCGCCTCATCGGGCCCCTCCACTCCCTCCCCACCTCGCGCCGCCGGTTGACGCGGCGCAGCCGGAGCCCCCCGCAGAGCACGGCGCTGCATCACCTTCGCCCGCGTTCGTTTCTCCCGTACCTGCGGAGGCGGGTCGCCGACACCCAGCACCTCCGTCGACGCGACGCTGCGGCCTGTCTGCGACTCCTCCTCCTTTTGGCCCAGCTACAAAATAGCAAACGTATGCTCAGCATTTCACCTTCATATGCTTCTATTTTTGGGAATCCTTTTGCTAAATAGTCCTTCCACCCTTGAGGGTTTTTGTTCGGTCTTATCCGCTGTGTACTTGAAGGGCAAATGTATTATTGTATACTGCATAACACAATCAATGCTCTCGAAGTTTATCAATGCTTGAGGATCAACAAGTTATGGTCTAAATTTTAAACCATAGAGTTTATTACTTTCAATATTCCACTATGTTTTCCAAATTGGCATGGTGCGATTGAGAAATCAAAATGATGTATATGTTTTCATGCTGCTATTGAGATATCAAAATGATGTATATGATTTCCATAATTTCAATATAAGATCGCAGCATTGTGAATTGGTTTCAACTAATGTTTGTTTATATTTTGTCTGTTAGATATGGATCAAAATGCTTCTGCTAATGAAGGTCGCTTTGCCGCCAAAGATATAACAAATAGAAAAATCAATATGTTTTAAGTGCATAAGACAAGAAAAATGAATGGAAATGACCTAAGGGAAAATTCGAATTCGTGACATGCCTTTATATAATTTTTCTATTCGTGACATCTGAATCTATTTTAAAGTTTTATTAAAGACAAATATAATTACACCGTAGCGTTTAGCACGGGCATATTACTAGTATATAATAGGGTAAGAATTAAAGAGATACGCTTTTACTCTATCCGTTCTAAAATATAAGTACTTTTAGAATAGTGCAAAGTCAAATTTTTTAAATTTTAACTATTAATAGCAAAATATTAAAAAAGATTAATCATATAAATTTGATATTATTATATTTATCATTAAACGAACTATCTTAATATACAACTCTTTAATTTAAAATATTTTACTTTTGTAGATATTATTGGTTAAAGTAGCATCTCGAAGACCGTATCGAGATCAAAAATGCTTATATTTTAGGACAAAGGGAGTATATATATACTTGATCTTCCCAAAGTGATTTACACTAACTTTAAAGCATAATAGTTAATTTGATGATGGATGAGTAGGACTAGCTTCTTGAACTGTTTTTAGATCTCCAAATTAAACACATATTTATTAATTATATTTATTACTATCCATTACTGATTTCAACCAATGTATTGCGCGCGCTGCAAGCCTGATGTAATGGTGCTTAAGGCGAAAGAATATGCCCATATATATTATCGATCAGATACCATTATGTGAGGTTTTTTTTCCTCCGATTAATTAATTAACACAAGTATCTACACATGAAGGTACGTTACAAGCAAAATTAATTACTCACGTTCTAAACATAATTTGACTTGTTAAGATTTCAGTAAAAGCCGGGCTCCCGAAGGTTTTTCTCTTAAAAAATATAATTTGATATTTTAGGATATATTAGCACCTCTTGTATCCCGAAGAAAATTAAACAGCTATCTAATTTTGATGATGAGCGTTCATTAATATTCTATGAACGACTTGTATGGCAGATGGCCTCAGTACTGAGCCAATTTTAAGTGGTGTTTTAATACTACAATTAGTACTTACCAAGTAGTAATATAATTCAGGGCATGTTTGAGGAAGCTTCTAGTTACAACAGCTTTTTCCAGAATTAGAAACTCCCCAAACAGTACAGCTTTTTATACAGATTCTAAAAAACTATCGTTGTAGTTGTATAATCTAGAAAATAAACTAGAAAACAGAAGCTAGCTAGAAAACCTATTTTTTTTCATATTCTCATATGGTAGCAACCAACTAGATGCTTCTTGTAATGTTAAGCTCAAACATGCTCTTAAAACATTGAGATAATCTTTTCCTAGTGAAAAAGGACTAGGAAGGACCATATCTCTAATGTACCCGATAAACACTGGGTCGATAGCCAAAGCGTAGAGGGGATAACATTTGAAATTGGTATTTGCATATACCTCTCATGCATGCTCTTCTCCTAAATATATATATCAAACTAATTTAGACATAGATAGGGCATGTACAAAGGTAGAGTCGGATATGAGCTCTACGTTATCTAGAGACTAGCATCCTACAACAGTTAGAGACAATATGGTCTCTAATCATTAATGTATCAAAATACTTTTTATTACTTTTCTTTCCTTTCTTTCACCACTATGCAACAAAATTTGCTCTAATAAATGCTAAGAGTCGACTCTTAGCCGTTGTCATGCATAACAACTATACTCCTTCCTCTTTCTTTCATGTCACCAAATTTACTTGCATGGCAATAGAGAGAGACCACTAATAAACACCATTGTACATACCCTTATTAGTTAGCTTACTAGCTAACTAACAACAGTTTATTTATAAAACTAATACCCTACATTTTAGCTTGTAATACACTACACTTTCTTTAAGAGATTATATTACAAGGAAGATACTTGAGGAAAAATGATTTTTCCCCAAAAGTGAACCCTGATTCCTTGAATGAACTAAAGACGCGGGGACACAACCCCAGAGATGTTGATCAAGACAGAGAACACTGTATTCCAGACTGATTGATTATATTCCCAGTGATTTTACATCCACCGTACCTGCATCCTCTCTCTAGAGATGTCATTTTTAGTTTCCCTAGATATATATACTTAACGAACCAGCAGCAGCTGCAGCTGGCACATTCCAACACAATCTATGCATGCATGCATGAATCGAGATACCATAAAGAATATATGTGTGTGTGTGTGTGACATCTAGTATCTTGGATGCATGGGTTAAATCATCATTATTCCTCAAGAATCCAAAAAGGAACTACTAATTATATGTACATCGATCGTCTCTCTCTCTATCGATAGATGCATTAGAATATTATAGCTAACTGTTAACTCCAAATCATCTATAACTAATATAATAGCCCATTCATACATTATGTATCTATAAAAATATACTACACCAATAATACCCGGTTCCACCTTTCATACACACACATAACGTCTTAGAGTCCGTGTTGCAGCTGGCTACAAATCTGTAGCCCGTTTTCTTCCCTATCTTCTATTTTCTTCTCGATATGTGATTATAGCTGGCTTATAGCCTGCTATTGTACTTGTTCTTAGACTAGCTAACTACTACTTAATTAGCTTGTAGTAGTAGAGATGAGATGAGAGGATCAGTAGCATGCAATAGTATGGTGTTGGATGAGTAGTTGCATGTGCATGGTGACTTTATTCTCCCAAAGGGGAGAACAGAAATGAAGAGAGAACTGGGGAGAGGAGAGGAGAGGGGGGCCTAGGCCTTCGAGAAAGCAAAGCCAAAGCAAACCCAAAACAAAGCTATCAAAGCAAAGGCAGTGCAGGCAGCAGCAGCAGCGAGAATCTGATTCCCTGCCCCTCCCCTCCTGCGAGTAACATGCCATGCATGCGTCCCTCCCAGTCCCTAGCTATATTTTTCCCTTCAATTCACTATCGATCATGCATGCTGCTAATTCCAGATCTATCTATCTTGGACCAGCTAGCTACCAACCAATCTAGGATTACATCGTCTCTCATCAGTACGAGTACTGTTACTATCTCTCCTGTTATTAATCACTACTCAGTACTGATCAGTCTCGCTCTTACCTAACTTAACAATGCATGCTAACCTTAGCTTAGCTTAGCTAGCTCCAGTACTAGCTACTTTATATCTCCATATATATAGTATTAGTTAACCTAAGCTAAGCTAGCTAGCAACATGATGCATGATAATGATATCCTCAGAATATAGTACTGATTCATGCATGATAGAGAGTAGTAGTAGTATGATCTATCTTCTCTCTCTCTTTCACTATCTCTTTTGCGTGGCACACAGGCACACACAGAGACACACACACATTCTTTCGTACGCTCCATTCACTTTTCTGTGCCAGTCTTGTTGGCAGCAGCTTGTGCTTTTGGGCACAGCATTCCATCATCTGCTATCTCTCTCTCTCTCTATAGGCAGCTCTTCCTTAGCTGCTTGTGTTGTGTGTGTGCTAGAGCCATAGACATCGTCGTCGTTGAGACGATGAGAGAGTACACACGTAGTCCCTGAAAAAACACCCGGCCGGCTAGCTGGCCACACAAACACACAAGAGCTATAGCAGTAGCAGTGTAGTACCACTGAACCAGAGCATGCACTTCCTTCTTCAGCTCATCTTCTTCCTCTTTCTCAGTGCACTTCTCAAACTTCCATGCACACACCATCACCAACACAACGACGAAGACTGAATAATATTATATATACTCTCTCATCTCATCTCATGCAATGTCCTCCATGAAACTCGCCCTAGCTACATTACATATACTTCTCTTCCTTCCATTTACATAGTACTCTATTGGACACTACTGCATGCTTGCCTAGCTATCTGCTATCTATACATACTGTGTACGGAGTAGTTACTAGAATGCATGCATGCAGTGAATTTCAGGTGCATTTGTGGTGATTGATTGAGCTCAGAAGCTTAATTATCTGTGTGGTATGCTTATTAATTACTAAAACTAAGCTAGAATATATGTATGTAGCTTTTTGTCATTTACATTGATCTCAAATATATAGGAAAATAATATATATATATATATATATATATATATATATATATATATATATATATATATATATATATATATATATATATATATAGGTTGGATATTATATTAAAAAGTAGCATATATATGAAGGCAACTGAGACCAACTTAGCTTAGCTAGATAGGAGTAGTATATGATTTGAGCTGATCAAATCAAAATGGCCCTCATGAAACACTAAAGATCAATCTGTGGGATATCTTCACACTTTAGTACGTTCTATCACTGTAAAAGGAGCAAAAGGTAAAGGTAAAAAAAACAAAAGAGCCTTGCTTTTGAATGGGCCTTCTCAGCCCTCTTTGACTACACCCTTTAATTTGTAGTCGCAATTAACATTGCAATCCTATTGCCAAGCCGTACTACGTGTACTATACACCGTAGAGATTTACATATATACGTTATGTTCAAAATGTGCGTGTAATTAAAATTAATAGGGCATATGCGAAATAGACTACAAATTTGTTAATAGACCTTATGCGATATAGGTGGTATTGCATGTTTGAAATAGTTGCATATATCTTACTTAGAGACGAATTCATGCAGTAGCTAGCTTAGCTATAGCTTCTAATATATTTCTGATCCTCAGGTCATTACAAAGACATAAATTTATACTGATTGTTGCACCAATAGCAAAATTAAGAATTGAGAGAGAAGGCATCGATCATCACACGTAATATATAGGAGAATTAATTGACATATAATAGGAGTTTCCATTAACAAAATGAACAACAGTAGTGGTACACATAACGTACGTGGCCCCAAATGCACGAGAGAGAAAAAAAAACCCTAACATTTAAAAGAAAAGAAGAAGAAGAAGAAACACATCAAGTGAGATTAGATCATGCATGCAAAGCTAAACTAGCTAGAAAATACTAGTACTACTTTTGCATGATCAAAATTAAACACACACTCCTCCAGTCTTCATTGGGACACATCACCTAATTGCAAGTGCAAAAAATGCAAATGCCTCGATCTCGATCTCGATCGATCGAGATCAACCATCCTTAAACTTAATTTGGTTCTATATCTCACACCACCATCACCATCACCATCGATATGATCGATCACACGCCCTATTATGAATATATATCTAGCTAGCTAATCGTAGAGAGTCTGCATTATATTTGCAGATCTCTGCCATTAGCTAGCTAGATTGTGATTAGTTATAGGCTAGCTCTCGATCATTACAAGAGATGGTTACCTGTGGTTGCACTGGAGTAGGAGGTGTATCCTCCAGCGAGGTGATGATCGCCATACATGCCCCTTGGGTAGCCTTCTCTCTTCGATGATGGCATCGCATGGTGGAGCTCTCCACCGTCTTCGCCGCCGCCGCTGCCATGGCCGTCGCCGTCTAGGCCTAGCTGGAACATCCCCGGCATTGCCATTGCCGGCGGTGGCGCCGCCATCGCCGCCTGGTGATCCATGGCGTGGAAGAACGGGAAGCTCTGCATCTGCTGTAGTCTCCATTGCTCGAGGCCGGTGGCGGCGCCGACGGAGTAGCAGCCGGCCGCGTCGACGGGCGGTGGCTTGCCGGCGGCCGCCGCCATGCCAGAGAAGGTGGAGCCGAGGCTCATGGCGTCGAAGTCGGCGAGGCGGAGCAGCGGCGGCAGGATGGAGAGGTTGCCGCCCAGCATCGCCGGGAGGGCGGGCGCGTTGGGCGTGGCGCAGGTGGAGGACGTCGTCGTCGTCGTCGTCGACCCCGCTGGCGTCGAGCCGGCGGTGGTGGTGGCGGCTGAGGCGGAGCCCGCCGCGGACGCCGGCTTGGGCTTGGCGCGCTTGGCGTGGCGGCGGTAGCCGCCGCCGACGGGGACGTTGCGGAGCGCGCCGCCGCGGGTCCAGTAGCGGCGGCAGGCGCGGCAGAAGTGGCGGGGCTGGGAGAGGGAGTAGTTGTTGAAGTAGCAGAACTTGGTGTTGGTGGAGTCGCAGCGCGGGCACTTGAGCCCCGGCTCCGGCAGCGGGATCCTCGCCAGCCGCGCCCTCTCCGACATCGACATCGGCTTCGCCGGCCCCACCGCGCCGCCTCCGCCGCCGCCATCGGCAAGCGTGCCCGGAATCATTGACTGCTGCTGCAGAAGCTCATGGCTATTGCCGTCGCCGCCGCCGCCGCCGCCTCCACAACCGGCGGCGACCTGATGATGCTGGTGGTGGCCGTGAGCATGTTGCTGAATTAATGAATCAAACCAAATCAATTAAACACAAGCTTAATTGTATATATATATTAGCTAGAGATCGACAAGAGAAGCATCTAGCTAGCAAGAAAGATGGAAGAAGAAGACGATTATTTGGGCAGTAAGTATATACCAAGACAGTGCTCCGGATCGGAATATTGAGCTAGCCCTAGCAAGTATTCTCACATCTCTTTAAATTTTTCTTTTCCAAATTTTAATATATATATATCGCCACAACTTTGTAGCTTTTATTTGTGCTCTTGCGCAAAAGAGAATGAATAAAATCTCTTGACGGAAAAGAAAGAGAAAGAAAGAAAGAAAGGGGATGAGCTAGGAAGAAGATGATGACTGGAAATTGATTATTACCTGCTGCTGCTGCTGGTTGTGGTTGTTGTTGTTGTTATCATTCCAGCTCGAGGAATCCAGGAAGGCAGGGGGGAAGATCATGGTGGTGGGTAGCAAGTGATGCTGAGCTGAGCTGAGCTGAGGTCTGGTGACTCTGGAGAGAAGATAGAGAATTAAAGTGCTAGGGTTTGGCAAGGCCTTGTGTTTTTCTTTTCTCTCTCTCCCTAGCTGCTGATGCCTGATTGCTTTCCCTTCTCTTCTGCAGCTATAGCTAGCTACCTTGTATTTTGTTTGTGGTGTATGTGGCCAAAGTTGGAGAGATAGTGGAGGGAATCAGAAGAGAAGAAAGCTAGCCAAGACTAATAACAGGTGAGAGAGAGAGAAAGAGAAAGAGAGACAAGATCAGTGAGAGTGAGGTGGAAGGGATAGATGAGGTAGCAATTAGCAGGGAAAGAAAGGAAAGAGAGAGAGAGAGAGAGAGAGGAAAAAAAAAAGGTGAACATGTCATGTACCACCATCCTTCCTTCCATGTATCCATCCTTATTTTTTGTGATCTTGTGGGCTTTCTTCTTTGCTATGCTGACTGCTGCTCTCTCTCTCTCTCTGGTTTTCTCAGGAAGAGGGACACCACCGTGCAAGTGATGACAGCTACCCGTAGAGATCCGACTCCAAGTGGATGGAAGGCCGGCGATGACTTATGTGAGCTTTTAGAGATCTAGGAATATGCCCACCTCATTGTCAATAAATTTAAACTGAATTTAAATTTAAAAGTTATTAATTCAAACTCAATCATGTATTGACCAAATTAAAAACAGCTAGTGTACACACACATATATGCAAATACAAGCCACTGTAATTCTTATATAAGTCTATCGCGAATACGTAGAGCACGCTAACACAGTCGCCATTAATTCCTTCTATTTTCAAGGAGTAGATCGAGATATGTAGGGCCTTTGTTAAAATGCTCTAAACTATATTTAGGAAGTACACAAATAGCCATAAAGGCTTTTCAAGTAAAGTAGTTTATAGTGTAGTAAATTATTGTCCTCAAACATTTTACAAATTATTGTGATGCATATCTAAATATAGGAGAACTTAACAAGAAATATGTCAAATTTTGGCTAGTAAAAGAGACAAAATCATAGCTCGATGTTTACATAGAGATTTTTTCTTTATTTCCATCGATCGTTCCTTAAAATGTTTGAGACTTTTTTTTTTATAATCATGTACTTTTGATAGTTTGGAGGGGGACTGCCGGAGAGCACCGGAGGACTACATCTTAATTGATTGGTTTTGTCTTATACATGACATATCATGTTCAAACTTCCTCAATAATTATTGTCATTTAATTGGCGACACAAATCTCAAATCAAATACATATATACCAACATGCAATCCTCCATTTACTAGATATTAATTAGTACTTTCTCCGTTTCAGGTTATAAGATGTTTTGTCTTTGGTCAAAGTCAAACTATTTTAAATTTGACTAAGTTTATAGACAAATACAGCAATATTTATAATACTAAATTAGTTTCGTCATATCAATAATTGAATATATTTTCATAATAAATTTGTCTTGGTTGAAAATGCTACTACTTTTTTCTACAAACTTAGTCAAATTTAAAGCAGTTTGACTTTGATTAAAGTCAAAACGTCTTATAACCTGAAATGGAAGGAGTACCTCGCAAGCAAGTGCATATGGAGATGGTTAATTACAAAATATAACTATATGAGTCATAAAAGAAAATATACATAGTAACTAATACATACAACCCCTCATCCTCTCTCTAGATAACTTTTTCTCTTTCCTCCCTCTCTTCCCCCTCTCAAGTAAAGGAAAAAAAAGGGGGGAATTTTACTAACTCTCTTCAAGTTCTACAGGATGTCCAAGAGACAGGACACATGCAACTACCAACTTCAGAGCCTCAATCTCATGTTGGCCGGCTAGCTAGCTACCATGTCTAGACCCCACAGTACATCCAACATTTTTGTGACATTTTGCATGCAACTCCAAGCAACTGGGGAGAGAAATAGTCTTGGGCCTTAATCTAACTAGCTTACTATAGCTTGAGTATTATACTTGCACTATTTTTATGTACACAATGTTATAGGATCACCAGGTGAATAAGATTCAATTTTTAAGTTTGTAGTATAGTGTTAATACATCTTGTTTTGCCTGCTGCCGGAAATCTAACAAATTAAAAGTTTATTCGAACTAAGCCTTATTGTTCTTATTAATGAGAACAGTGATAACAAGTTGATTCGTCTGCTCGTACGTCGCTAATTGCTTGTTAGCTAGGTACTATATACCAGGTACGTAAAATTAAGCTTTGCACAGGAGCGATTAGCTAGCAATTAGTACGTAAAATTAATTGCTTGTTAGGAAAAAAATAGGGTCGCTTAGCAACTACAGTTCCAACAAGAAATTAATCAATTGTTTAACTAAAATTGTGCATTTTGATCGTGGCCTATAACTAATAAGGACGTACGTACAATGCAACTTGATCAAATATATAGTCGCACCAGCAATCAACTGCACGTACGAAGAAATCACTGTATAAAATGGGCCCAGATTTTTGACAAACTTGCAGTCATTTTTATGTTTACAGGTAGGATATGCCAATCATTCGTTAACTCACGTGCGGTTAATAATTTGGACCATTTGCTTTGAGATTCAGCGGTACAATATTTAATTGCAAAACTAAATATGATTTCCCTAATTTTTTCCTTTTTAGCTGTTGTACCATAATTGGAAACCTAGAATTTTAGTGAAAATTACTATTTCAATCAAATACTAGTATATACGTACCTTCAATATACTGTAGGTAAGAAACAATAGGAACCGTCATATCGATCGGCTTAACTTAAGGAGCATAACTTAACTGGTTAGATTCCTGGTGATGGAACCAGCCCACCCGGATTCAACTCTTAGATTTGATATGCACCCCTTTGACAGTGAAGCGTCTATGATGACTTCGTCAACCCTCACGATACCGTTGGCCTAGTCTTCCAGGATACTTATAGAGGTCGAGGAGTACGTGTATACGCTCATAGAGGGTGAGTGTGAGTGAGTGTGTGTGTGTGTGTGTGTGTGTGTGTGTGTGTGTGTGTTATGACTTATGAGTGTGTCGGAGGATGAACTCCTCCGGCGGGGGACCATGAGAGCACTCCTTTTTTGGTTCGGCCGGGGGCAACAGGTGGAGGTCGAGGAACTGGAAAGATTGGGAGAAAAAGAGGGGGGGTTGGGCCCCCTTACTTAGGGTGAGACACAAGGGGTTTATATAGTTTCGGGCCGCTAACAAGCGTAATACTCTACTCCTGTGTATGATGATTTTTTTGAGCTTTGGAAGTCTCTGAATCTCTGGTGTACAAGCTAGGGTTGGGTGTCCTTACTCTCCCTTCTTTTTTTTCCTCACTGGACGTCCACTCCCCTTTTATACTTTAAGGGGTTATTACATGAGTTCTATGCGTCCTCTAGTAAGAGAAGAAACATCCTCTAGATTGAACGCGTGTCTCGCGCTGCATGCGCTACAGCTTGGAAATTCCCTACATCAGTAGTCGAGCGGGCCCCACCAAATTATGCCGACTGACGCAAGCCGACATGGAGGAGGATCCCTGTCGTTCTTCGTTTAATGGATGTAGATTTGAGGCTCGTATGCGCTGGAAACGCCATCCCGGGCGCTGCACCTCCTGTCATCTTGATGGGACAGGGCATACCAACCGCACTTCGCCTGACACCTGTGCGACCGCGCGTGGCTTGCCGCTGTCCCGTCCGTTGTTTCAACCGATCACGTCCGGTCAAGATTCGGTCAGGCGAGCGGCACGCCACATTTAATGCGGCGAGGCACGCTTGCCCGGCCCACTCTGCCCACATTAAATGCGGTTAGGTGGGCGCGGAGGGGTATCCACGAATCATTTTTGCATGGTGACCACGTGTTTACCACCCTGAGGGGTCGGGGCAGCCCGACCCCTCGGGTTAGGTACGGGCGGCTTCCACTCGTCCACGGGCGCGACCCCTTGGGGTGAGCGCCACGTGGATGCCAAGGGCGGCTCCTCCCTTCTAAGTTCGGTACTCCCGGTACCCCCGGGCCCATATCACCGACAGAGTGCATGCGTTTGTATTGTGCTTCTATACAAACTTGAGGATGATGTGGACTTAAATATGTGCTTCTTTACAGGAGTAATTATAATTAGTGGGATATAACTATATTTATAGAAATAGAGGAATAGCCTATATTTCCCATGCAATTGCATTGAGCTAGATTAAATCTTATTTAAAAGTATAATTCATTTTTGTATGTGCATGTCTTGTTTATAATATATATATATATATATATATATATATATATATATATATATATATATATATATATATATATATAGCTGTACATATTTTGTAGGATTGTCTAGTAATTTCTATCACCTGAAAATACCCACAAATTTCAGTCACTTTTGGACAACCTAGGTCGAGGCAAGATTAATGCGTAACCTCCTCCTCCTCTCTCTCTCTCTCTCTCTCCCCCCCCCCCACCTATGACACTGGCCAGATCGAGCAGCCTAACGTATTGAGCTCCGCCGCCACTCCTTCCCGTCCCGGCAAGACCCCCTTTTGCTAGCATTGATGAGCCTCTCCGGAACCACCCTTCCCATCACGTCATCCCTCACCTTATCTTCTTCTCTCCACCACTCATTCCCATGCCATCTCCCTCCTCCCGATGCCCAAGCAGCACCACTCTCTTCCATCTCCCTCCCCTCGCCACCTACCTTGTCGCCCACCGCTCTCCTCCAGCCCCACACCACCAGCAAATCCGACACTGCTCACCCATATCTGTCGTTGTACCACCACAAACCACCTTGACACTGACTTCATGGCCATCCTTCTAAAGTCGTCTGGCCCTACCTTCCTGCACCACCTTCTGATCCTGAAACCCTAATCTATTAGAGTTTCGATATTGTTGCCACCACCATGAAGTTGTCATCGCCATTGCTAGTGAGTCCTTCATGTGAATCCCGCTTTTCCTAACCTCTCCCTTGGCTAGATGTCGAAGATGACTCCCTTGTTGTTGGCTGAGAGTAGGGGTGGACAGAAAAGACCGAACCGAAATAACCGAGACTGAGACCGAACTAATCGAGGCAATGAATTTCGGTCTTCATACTCAACTAACTGAATTTTGCTTGGTCAATTCGGTCATAGGCCTCAGCTAATCAAGATGACCGAATTGAATGAGTTTAGCCCAATAGGCCCAGAGAGGAAGCACTAAATCCCCATGTCCCACATGCACATACCAAGCCGCTGGCCGATTTGACATTTTTTTTTATTTTGTGTGATTTTTTGGACATGCTGTTTATATGTGATCTATGTGTTTTTTGGATCTGCTTAAATTTTGGTCATGACCGAGACTGAGACCGAATTTCGGCGTTCATTATTTTGCAATGCAAATCGATCGGTCTTCAGTATTACAGGACC